AATAAATATTGAATAAAAAGCCTGCTCTAAAATACCCCATATAAAACCCCTAGCAAAGCCCAATCAAAACTACGCCAGGCCGGCCGCATGGAATAGATGGGTTTTCAAGGCTCGGCGGAAGAGGCGCAGGTCCGTAGTTGTACGTAGGTCGGGGGGTAGGTCATTCCAGAGGGCAGGAGCTGCCACAGAGAAGGCTCTCTCCCTGGGGGTCGCCAGCCGGCATTGACTGGCCGACGGCACCCTAAGGAGGCCCTCTCTGTGGAAGCGGACTGGCTGAAGGGAGATATTTGGTAGGAGGTGGTCTTGCAAATACCTAGGTCCATTGCCATGGAGCGCTTTAAAAGTTGTTACTAACACCTTGAAGCGCACCTGGAAGGCCACCGGGTGCTGGTGATTATCTATAAAAGTCTCATGGATTACTTGAGGGACCACCTTTCTCCCATAGCATCCACCTGGCTAATGCAAACATATAGGGTTGGCATATTTTGAGTTTCTTTGATTAAACATCTCAGAGGGCCCTGGAAGAATGAGTCCTCTACAGCACCACCTGCCACCAAATCTGGTTGCATAACAGAATAAAAGAGTTGGAAGGGACCTTGGAGGTCTTCCAGTCCAATTTCCTGCTCAGACAGGAAACCCTATACCAGGGGTAGGCAACCTTGGCTCTTTTATGATTCGTGGACTTCAACTCCCAGAATTCCTGAGCCAGCCATGCTGGCTCAGGAATTCTGGGAGTTGAAGTCCACAAGTCATAAAAGAGCCAAGGTTGCCTACCCTTGCCCAATACTATTCCAGACAAACATTTGTCCAATCTCTTCTTTAAAACCTCCAGGGATGGAGTACATACAACTTCTGAAGGGAAGTCATTCCACTGATTAATTGTTCTCACTGTCAGGAAATTTCTTCTCAGTTGTAGGTTGGTCCTCTGCTCGATTAGTTTCCATCCCACTGTACTACCGTTTAGAAGAGATGTGAAGACCTGGGTCGTTTCTCAGGCCTTTGGCAGGGAAGATTGATATCCTTTGATTGATTATACTTTTCATCTTTTATCTTAATCTTTTACTGGTTTTAGAGCAGTTTCTTTGAATGATTGTTGGGAGCTGCCCCAAATTATTGAAAGTTGGGTGGCATGCAGCTTTACCATTAGCATCATGGAAGTGATTTTCCAAAATCTTTTTCCTACCACAAAGAGTGAGTGACTGGCCCACAGGCACACAACTGGCTTTCTTGATTAACAACTAGAGTCTCCCCGTCTTAAGTCCAGTCTTTTTAACCACTGACTGGCTATCATTGCTAATTTAAATCCTGATTTCTGTCCCATTCTTCTCTTTCCCCAGATCTAACCAATCAGTAATTTCACAGTCAAGTGCATACAGAGAGGCAAGCCTCTGTGCAAGGCCATCATTTGAACTCTGCCACTTTTGCACATGGGTTGCGATATCCAAGCATGCACATAAGGGGTGTGGCTTGGGCGATGACATCACAACTCCTGGGTCATGCTGACCAAGGTTCAGTGGACACCCCTGTGCATGGGAAATATGATGATCTTCTAGTACTGAACTGCCATTCCAATCTGGCTGTATCCTATCACAGACAGCCAAATATTATAGACAATATAGACTGTGATCGCACAAACTTGTTTTTTTCCTTTTAATTATCTGAAAAAAAGAGTCTGCCTTTTTCTCCTGGTAAAGCAATGAGGCAGGATATTTATTTCATTTTTTTAGGGAAATTTAAGAACAGGGAAGATGTTTACATCCTGCTCTAATCTAGGGGAAGAATAGAAATTATTTTAGAAGGATGTAGTTGTTTTTTTTAAAAAATGTATTTCTTAGTTTTGTATCCCATCTTTCCTTCAGGAACCCTAGGTACCGTATTTTCCCCAAAATAAGACCGGACTGGAAAATAAGTCCTAGCATGATTTTTCAGGACACTCTTAATATAGGCCCCACCGCAAAAATAAGCCCCAGTTAAGATTCTCATCCAGACAGATGCATTTAGTACCGTATTTCCCCAAATATAAGCCCTAACTGGAAAATAAGCCCTAATGCAGTGGTTCTCAACCTTTTTAATGCTGCGACCCCAACCGGTCGTAAGTCGAGGACTAAACCGGTCGTAAGTCAAGGACTAAACCGGTCGTAAGTCGAGGACTAAACCGGTCGTAAGTCGAGGACTACCCAACCGGTCGTAAGTCGAGGACTTTCCCTGCCCGGGAGCGCCACGCATGCGTGGTTCCGCCCCCTGCGCCGGCCGAGGTGTAGCTGGCAAGCGGCAGAGACGGAGCAGGCCGACCACCAGCTGGCCCAGCCCAAGGGAGGAAAGGCACCCACCGGAAAAGGGGAAAAAATGGCAGACAAAAAAAATGGCGGACAAAAAAAAATGGCGGACAGCCTTGCTTGGCGACCCCCGTGAAATGGTCAATCGACCCCAAATGGGGTCCCGACCCACAGGTTGAGAACCACTGCCCTAATGCATCTTTTGGAGCAAAAATTAATATAAGACCTGGTCTTATTTTCGGGGAAACACTGTCACTTACGTGGGAATTCTTACATCTGTAACAATAACAGTCTCATCTCAATGGGATTTGCCTACCTTATTTGCCTACCGAAGGGGCATGCTATGGACCCTGTCAGTCAAGGAATTCTGGCTGAGGGGGTTCAGGAAGGGAGTCTTTTCTGCCGTGGTTCCATCCCTGGAACACTATACCCCCCCAAAGGTGAGATCTGCCCCCATGCTCTTGGAGTTCTGAAAGGGCCTGAAGAACTGGCTCTTCATGAGGCCCCAAGGGGACAAATCAGATTGAAAGTGGTTAATGGACTGAGATAAGATCCCACCTCCTCATTGTGTGCATTTTGCTCCCTTTGTTATTTTTTTAAGTCAGTGTTAGTGCTAATATTTATTTAATGTTTTCATATGTTATTGTATTGCTTTTATTGGTTGTAAGCTGAGTAGTCATCTCTTGGTGAGATGGGTAGCATATAGCAATAGTACTAAGACTTATATACTGCTTCATAATGCTTTACAGCTCTCTCTAAGCAGTTTACAGAGTCAGCATCTTACCCCCAACAATCTGGGTCCTCATTTTACCAACCTCGGAAGGATGGAAGGCTGAGTCAACCTCGAGCTGGTGTGAATCGAACTGCTGGCAGTTGGCAGAGTTAGCCTGCAATGTTGCATTCTAACCACTGTGCCACTATTACTGCGCTAAAGAAACAAACAACACATTGAGGTAGGCTGGTCCAGAGTTACCATATGAGCTTTAAGGCTGGGGGTGATCTTGACTTTTCCCAATCGTTGTCTAAACCTTTCACAGTGCCTCTCAAGATGTGTTTCTGCATATCTCATGTGTGAAACTTCTCTATTTGGTAGAAGATTGGATTTGAAGAAGTCTCCCTCGGTCAATTCTTTAGCTCTAATTGTTCTCTCGAGATAGTTGCATCAGAAAACCTGTTTGGGTAGATGTAGGGGTGACCTATAGCAGTGTTTCAATATTTGAGGCTTCCACAAAGAAGGGGGAGGTCAACCTATTCTGCAAAACACTTGAAGGCAGGACAAGAAGCAATGGATAGAAACTAATCAAAGAAAGAACCAATCTAGAACTAAGAAGAAAATTCTGACAGTTAGAAAATTTAATCAGTGGAATGGCTTGCCTCCAGAAGTTGTGGGTGCTCCAACAATGGAAGTTTTTAAGAAGAGATTGGACAACAATTTATCTGAAATGGTGTAGGATTTCCTTCCTGAGCAGGGGGTTGGTTTAGAAGACCTCCAAGGTCCCTTCCAAGAATATTATATTGTGTTCTGCTCTGCTCTGTTCTACTGTAGCAGATGATCAGGCTGAGTCTGAAGGAGGAGTTATGGGATGAGAAGCAATGGACAGAAACTAATCAAAGAGAGAACCAACCTAGAACTAAGAAGAAATTTCTGACAGAAAATTTAATTGGTGGGATGGCTGGCCTTCAGAAGTTGTGGGTGGAGATTTTAAAGATGAGATTGGACAGCCATTTGTCTGAAATGGTATAGGGTTTCCTGCTTGAGCAGTGGGATGGACTAGAAGACCTCCAAGATCTCTTACAACTCTGTTATTATGTTATTCACTTAGATAAAATTTTCTCTCTGTAGATAGACATTTAAAATATTGTGAGTAGGCTGTACACATCACCCTCCCAGCCTTCAAAAACATGGAAGGAGACAAAACAGCAAGGAAGGAACGGGTGAATTTGTGAAGATGGGCCATGTAAAAGATTTTGAGGAAGTTGAAAAAGAACTTGGGGAAATTCTAGATCTCTATAGATATGAGAAGAATGCGCTGGTAGTTTTATCACATACACATTAGCCTAAGATGCAAAAAACCCTAAGAAAAGCAAATTCGAAATGTTTGGAGAAACTCTACTTTAATGAAGTCATTTATATTGTTAGTAGGCTGTACACATCACCCTCCCAGCCATTATTTTCTGGCCTTTAAAAATGTGGAAGGAGACAGAATGGCAAGGAAGGAAAAGGTGAATTTATGAAGACAAATTCCTATCATAACCGCCAAGATTCTTTATTCTTGTTTTGTGTATTAAAGCTTTTTATTTTGAAGATACGTGGTTCTTGCTTCCTTGATGGAGCAGTGCCCTAAGGGGCTCGGCAATCTACTTACGAGTAGCCTTCCTGATGGTGATGGCTTCTGTGCGTTCTTCAAAGCAGCCTCCGGTTACTTTGCAGGCAAAGATGGTGCCCTTTGTCCATTGCTCCAAAGACACCGAATGGTTACTTCTCAACTTCTGACTTCCGTTAGCATCCGTCATCACCATCCCAGTCACACCCTCACTGCTGGGCTTGTCATCCACAAGCCAGGTGACCTGAGCGCTTTCAAGGTTAGGAGAAATCACAGTGCAGACTAGGACGGCTGACTTATTGAGTAGGCTTCTGTAAGATGGCTTGGTAATAAACATGGTGGGCTGAATCATGCAACCGTAGCACACTGTGGAGAAGGCCAGGAGAGAGAGAGATGACACAAGGATTATAATACTGTTTGAAGATAGTGCTTTTTGCATGGGGAGAAATCTTTAATAATTCATTAACAGTGACATACTTGCTAAGACGTTGCAAGCCTTAGTAGCTTCTTTAAAGATTAAAAAAATTTCAAGAAAACCGAGCAAAATGCTCGTTGAAAAGCTGCCTATGGCGGCACGTATTATATATGCGCAACATTGGAAAAATGAAAACATACCAACAAGTGCAAAGATTATAGGAAAGATTTTAGACTGTGCAGAAATGAACAAACTAACTCTAGAAATGAAAGACAAAGAAATTACTGAATTTCATGAGGTATGGGACATGTATTACAGCTGGTTAGAATTAAGGAATAAAAAAGTAAGAGAAGTAATGTAAATAATTGTTAATAAATGTAAGAGATATAGAACATAGTATTGTTAACGAAAAAGGAAAATGTATTGTTTATTGTGTATTTTGTTTGTTTGAAAAATAAAAAAATATATTAAAAAAAAAGAAAAGCTCTAATATCAAGGTTGATGTTTATATATTTACATCTATATCTACCTAGTTGTTTGACCAACCACTCACTAAATAACCCAACAGAGATTAAAAATCATAAGAAAGTACAACAATAAAATCATGAATTGTACTATCCTGGACAGAAACTACCCTTGCAGACCTCACGTCACTATCCTTGGCCCATCTAGCAGGCTGACCCAGTGGCTGAAGGAAGAACAAACGGTTAAGGACCTTTTTAAAAGTTGGCATGTAGATTATTTCTACTTTGGCCTATATTCTCTGTCTGGATTTCAAGGAACAAAATAAAATTGAAGCCTACTACATCAATAAAGGAGAATATTTGTAGCTCAGGCTTGAAATGAGGGGTCCTTGGTGCTCTCTGAGCTTGGTTATTTTCTTGCAGATGTTTCATTACTCAACTAGGTAACATGATCAGTGCTTCCGGTAGTAAGGAGTGGGATTTGCCCTCAGTTTATATTCAGTGTTTGCCAGAGTGGTCTTGGTGGTGTTTTTTTTTGGTTGGGCTGTTTACTGTTGACTTTTTTTTGGCAGTTCCTTGATTGGGATATTATTTACTTGATTGTTGGTCTGATGTTAATCACTGTTAGCAGATGACTAGCACTGAAGATGTTACCTAGTTTGGATAATGTGTGCAAGAAAACAACCAAGCTCAGAGAGCACCAAAGAGCCCCGCCCCCCCTAATATCACATCATTAAGCTAAACCCCAGTTAGATTACATTGTGAAAATCTGGTTAGCAGAACCTTCATAGGTCTCCACGGAGTTCTTTAAAGAGATGCATTTTCATAGATCTGCAAAACTATGATAGGGAGATGGTGGCCTTGAAATCTGTAAGTAGGCTGCGTCTTCAGTTTGAGCATGGGTTCCATGGAGATGGCTTTCCCTTAAATCTTAAGTCAGAAATGGTATAGGGTGTCCTGCTTGAGCAGGGAGTTGGACTAGATCAGGGCTTTTCAACCTTTTCACCCATTGTACCACTTTTAGGATATGGCAACATCCGAGTACCACCAGTTGCCTAGCAAGGTGTCCAAAACTTGATGACCCCAAAAAAAAAGAAAAAAAGAAAAAAGTGATAAAGTACAGGTAGTCCTCGACTTACAACAGTTCGCTTAGTGACTGTTCAAAGTTACAATGGCACTGAAAAAAGTGCCCCCCAAGCCACAGCCGAGCAAGACACCTGCCTGCCCGCCCGTCCGCGCTCTTCCTCCTGTCCGAGGTTTTCATTGTTGTGAGCATTTCTGTTGAGGATTGGCAGTGGGGGTGGGGTGGGGGGGTGTTTGGTTTTTATTCCCCCCGTCTGCTGGGTGGTTGCAGCAGGTTTTGGTCACGTCACATGACCCTGGGACACTGTGACTGTCATAAATATGAATCAGTTGCCAAGCATCTGAATGTAAATCACAAGACCCTGCAAGATGTTGCAACATTCCAGCTGATCGGCACTTCTTCTGGGCTCAGAAGAAGCACTAGGCTCACTGCTGCTTTCCAGCTGATTGGTTCTTTTTCAGGGCTCAGCAGAAGCACTAGGATCAGCGCCAAGCTCCAGCCAGAGGCTGGCGCTGATCTTGGCGCTTCCGCTGAGCCCTGACAGCCCTGCAGCTCCAGCCATCTCTCGCTCAGGCTTGTGCGGTGCTGCCACCGGTTCAGCTTATTCCCCTCCCCCACTACCACTTTTCTAGGATGGTCGCATACCACCTGCCAGGTGCCAATGTACCACAGGTGGTACCCGTACCACTGGTTGAAAAGCCCTGGATTAGATGACCTACAACGTCCCTTCCAACTCTGTTATTCTGTGTCTAGGATCCTCACCTGGCCTTCTCTATTAGGTTCCAATGGATGTGCAGATTCATTTTGAAAAAAGTTGTTTTAGGGATATCCAAGCCCTAAATCATATGAGGCTTTAATAATTTAATTTAATTTAATTTAATTTAATTTAATTTAATTTAATTTAATTTAATTTAATTTAATTTAATTTAATTTAATTTAATTTAATTTAATTTAATTTAATTTAATTTAATTTAATTTTTTAATTTAATTTAATAATTTTTCCACAAATTAAATGTGGATTCATGCAACTTCTGGAGTAGTAGTTTTATTGGGGTGAACCAAGGTACTTTCATAACTGTTTCAGCCATTGCATGTTGGATCAGCTGATGCTTCTGGATAGTTTTCAAATGCAGCCCTAGGTAGAACATACTGCAAGAATTCAGTTGCAACTTGATGAGGAATAATAATAATAATAATAATAATAATAATAATAATAATAATAATAATAATAATAATAATAATAATAATAATAATAATNTATTAATGGCCACAATTCTGCATATAATGCCCTTAATTTATATGGATAAGGAATGATAATTCCAGGCTGCAGTACTAGACTACAATCAATACAGTGTCTTCCAGATGGACTTCTCACACTTCTAGCATATCTTCAGAAGCATACATTAGGTCAGGGGTCCTCAACCCCCAGGCCGTGGCCCGGAACCAGGCCATGGCCCATTTGGAACCAGTCCACAGAAGCAGCGGGTGAGTATGCTCCCATGTGCAGCTCCCCTTGTGCAAGTGGCGGGTGTGTGTGCTCACACACAAAGCTCCATTTGCACGTAGCAATAGCAATGGTAGACTTATATACCGCTTCACAGTGCTTTACAGCTCTCTCTAAGTGGTTTACAGAGTCAGCATATTGCCCCCAACAATCTGGGTCCTCATTTTATCGACCTCAGAAGGATGGAAGGCTGAGTCAACCTTGAGCCAGTGAGAATCGAACTGCCAAACTGTTAGCAGCTGTCTCTCAACAGAAGTAGCTTGCAGTACTGTATTCTAACCACTGTGCCACCACGGCTCATGTACCCACTGCTCATGCAGAACCGTCTCCTCGTCCCCCCTGCCACCTCCACTGGTTCACAAAGCTGGAAAGCTTGGGAACTGCTGCATTAGTTGATGATCTGGCTAGATTGCTTCTTATCCATCCATCATTCTGTAGCCCATAAACTCTTGCCATTTTAGAGTCGCAATCCTCACCTTGACATTTGCTGGCATTGTACACTGTGATGTTTTGACTGCCTGGCGGGCGAGTCACTTTACAGGTGTAGAGGTCCCCTTTGTCCCAGCTCTCTTTGCTGATGTTCAGGTGGGCAAAACTGGAGTAACCACTACCCTTTCCTTCAACGGCTCTCAAGGCCACCTCTTGTTTCTCTTGCATCTTCACTCCATTCTTCAGCCATTCCACCTCAGCTTTTCCACTACTAAGGCTTCTCAAGAAGCATACCAGCTCCACATTGACCACTGAGCTCTGTTTGCCACAGCCGGGGGTTAAGATCTGAACATCAACTGGCTTCTGAGGTTGCCAGATGCAATCTGAGAATAGAAAGTAGAAAAATGTTATTGTTTGTTGGAAGAGCCATTCTTAAGAAATGCTTGTAGTTAGAGAAGACTATTTTCTTTACCGGAGACAAATTCCTTGTGTGTCCAATCACACTTGGCTAATACTCTACTCTACTCTACTCTACTCTACTCTACTCTACTCCACACTGCTCTCTACTCTCTACTCACCTATGTCCCTGGCATTCTGCCCACTAGCAAACAAGGAGAACATCACCTGTTTCTCCTTAACTAAACATGTAGAGGAAACAAGCCAAACTTAGATTCCAATGATTTTTTTTGAGGTTAGATGTACTTTGGAAGGGGTAGGATAAGCTTCCTATGATATTTGTGGATGCTCCATCACTGGAAGTTTTTAAGAAGAGACTGGACAACCACTTGTCTGAAATGGTAGAAGAATTCCTGCTTGATCAGGGGAAGACCTCCAAGGTCTCTTCCAACCCTGTTATTCTGTTCTATTCTAGTCCCAAACAATTTCTGTTTTTGAAGATCAAAGATGCTAAGCTTAACTGACTTTAGAAGTAAGTTGATAACCTGTTCAAGAGTCTGAACAGGATGTTATCTTCGGAATCTAGATGTTTGATCATCTCCAGATTGTCCTGATGGGCAACCCTGTCTCCTGACATCAGGAGAACCTGAAGGTGACTATAGCATGGCCTCAACAAGTGTGGTGCCCAGCTAATTTCATTTGGACTCAGAAGGTTAAGCAACATCAGGTCTGGGTAGTATTTGAATTGGAGAGTTTAGGGAATCCCAGTACTGTAGGCTGGACTGGCAAGTAAAAAAAAAAACCCATAAGAAGGAAACAGGAAAGCTACTTCTGTCCCATTGCCAAGAAAACAGCATAGATGCATCCTTCTATGGTCACCTTCTCTGTTTCTATACAGAACACTATTCCTACAAGCTGGACCTACACATCTGGCAGAGTCCCAGCTCCATATTTACTCATCAGGCCTATGGTGGCCTTAACCTCACATTGTTTACCCTCTTGAAGATACTTACATTTGTTTGTGAAGATAGCTGGGGGAAGTTCAATCTTGTCTTTTACAAAGCATTTGTAATTGATTTCAGAGGACCTGGAGGAAGAGATGGTGAGTTGACTTGTTGTGAACAGGACATCTCCACTCATTAGCTGTGATGAGAATTTTTTCTGTTCTGGAGGGTTAGGTTCCCACGTGATTTCCAAAGACTTTGAACCATGTTCAATGAGCAGGCAAGCAAAGGTTACCACACTAGAATCTTCCTTGCTGGAGCTACAGCAGGGCCAAAGTGGAATGATGGCAGGATCTTTTGGTACTATTGTAGGAGAGAGAGAAAAAGAAGAAGAAGAAGAAGAAGAAGAGGAAAGTGATGAGAAGTGACAGCAACCATTACAGGTTGGAAACCAATCTTAAAATGAATTCAGTTATGCTAAGTTAAATTTAATATAATTAATAGCAGGATCCAATCTGGATTAGTCATGGGGGATGAGAGGTTTAGTCTTCTGAGCTTTCAGATTCATGCTGGCACCCATCCTCAGGAAACTTCTTTCTAGCAGAGTGTGTGCTTTGCGCTAGTCTGTGTGTGGTATTTATATGGTGCCAGTTGTGTGTGGCTTTTTAGTTGTTGATTGGGGTGTTGATGGCTGGCTAGTAAGTCATTGGATGTTGTTTCCTTGTGCTGCCAAGCCCTCACCTCCTAAGTACGTGATAGGCTGGTGGTAAATCAGACTGCTGTTGACTGATTTATTTAAGGAAACAACAGCCAACGATTTAATAGCCAGCCATCAGCACCCCAATGAACAACTAAAAAGCCACACACTAACAGGCACCATATAAATATCACACACAGACTAGCCTAAAGCACACACTCTGCTAGAGAGAAGTTCCCTGAAGATGGGTTCCAGCATGAGTTGTTGATTGGGGTGTTGATGGCTGGCTATTAAGTCATTGGTTGTTGTTTCTTTAAATAAATCAGTCAACAGCAGTGCTGATTTACCACCATCCTATCAAGTACTTAGGAGGTGAGGGCTTGGCAGCACAAGGAAACAACATCCGATGACTTACTAGCCAGCCATCAACACCCCAATCAACAACTCATGCTGGAACCCATCTTCAGGGAACTTCTCTCTAGCAGAGTGTGTGCTTTAGGCTAGTCTGTGTGTGATATTTATATGGTGCCTGTTAGTGTGTGGCTTTTTAGTTGTTGATTGGGGTGCTGATGGCTGGCTATTAAATCGTTGGCTGTTGTTTCCTTAAATAAATCAGTCAACAGCAGTCTGATTTACCACCAGCCTGTCAAGTACTTAGGAGGTGAGAGCTTGGCAGCACAAGGAAACAACATCCAATGACTTACTAGCCAGCCATCAACATCCCAATCAACAACTAAAAAGCCACACACAACAGGCACCATATAAATACCACACACAGACTAGCCTAAAGCACACATTCTGCTAGAGAGAAGTTCCCTGAAGTTGGATTCCAGCATGAGTTGTTGATTGGGGTGTTGATGGCTGGCTATTAAATCGTTGACTGTTGTTTCCTTAAATAAATCAGTCAACAGCAGTCTGATTTACCACCAGCCTATCAAGTACTTAGGAGGTGAGGGCTTGGCAGCACAAGGAAACAACATCCAATGACTTACTAGCCAGCCATCAACACCCCAATCAACAACTGAAAAGCCACACACAACTGGCACCATAAACACCACACACAGAGTAGCGCAAAGCACACACTCTGCTAGAGAGAAGTTTCTTGAGGATGAGTTCTGGCATAAGTCTGAAAGCTTGAAAGAACAAAACCTCCAATGCCGGTGACTGATCCAAATTGGATCCTGCAACATTATCCCGGGTCCCATATGTTTGCCTTCATTTATGAAATGAATAACTTCTACCGAGTTTAATCCATTTAATTAAATTCAATTTTAATTCCAGTTTTGGTTATATTGTTTATGACAGGGCTTTTCAACCTTTTCACCCATTGTACCACTTTTAGGATATGGCAACATCCGAGTGCCACCAGTCGCCTAGCAAGATGTCAAAAACTTGATGACCAAAAAAAAGAAAGAAAGAAGTGATAAAGTACAGGTAGTCCTCGACTTACAACAGTTAGCTTAGTGACTGTTTGAAGTTACAATGGCACTGAAAAAGTGCCTCCCAAGGCACTGCCAAGCAAGACACCTGCCTGCCTGCCTGCCCGGACATGCTCTTCCTCCTGTCCGAGGTTTTCATTGTTGTGAGCATTTCTGTTGAGGATTGGCAGTGGGGGTGGGGTGGCGGGGTGTTTGGTTTTTATTCCCCCCATCTGCTGGATGGTTGCAGCAGGTTTTGGTCACTTCACATGACCCTGGGACACTGTGACCGTCATAAATATGAATCAGTTGCCAAGCATCTGAATGTAAATCACAAGACCCTGCAAGATGTTGCAACATTCCAGCTGATCGGCGCTTCTTCTGGGCTCAGCAGAAGCACCAGGATCAGTGTTGCTTTCCAGCTGATTGGTGCTTCTTCAGGGCTCAGCAGAAGCACCAGGATCAGCGCCGAGCTCCAGCCAGAGGCTGGCGCTGATCCTGGCGCTTCTGCTGAGCCCTGACAGCCCTGCAACTCCAGCCATCTCTCGCTCAGGCTTGTGCAGTGCTGCCCCTGGTTCAGCTTATTCCCCTCCCCTGCTACTACTTTTCTAGGATGGTCGCGTACCACCTGCCAGGTGCCAATGTACCACAGGTGGTACCCGTACCACTGGTTGAAAAGCCCTGGTTTATGTTATACATACAGTGTGAAGTTTTTATGTTTTAAAATATTAAGCCTTGATTATTGAAGAAAGAGAAAAGTCAATCAATCAATCAGTCAATCAATCAATCATCATCAATCAGTCAAACATGCTATAGCTTAAAGCAGGGGTGTTCAACCTTTTGGCTTGCCTGGGCCACATCAAATGAAGAGGAATTGTCTTGGATGGTATATAAAATATAATAATATAGTTAATGTATATAAATAATGAGTGGTATGGTGGCCTAGTGGTGAAGATGCTTGCCTCCCACTCAGAATGTTGAGAGTTCAATCCTAGGTAGCAGATATTTCTCTCCTAGGGCACAAAGAAAAAAATATGTGCTGTGAACTCCACATAGTCATCAGGAAGGGCATCCAGCTAGTAAATGCTCAGCTCTCTCCAGTCACCTCAACTCTACCCTGAATTAAGGGGTTACATGGTCATAAAAAGGGAGATTTTTTAATGCATATAAATAACAACTTCCTTTATTTTTATATTTTTTTATTATGATCTTATAGGAGCACATTAGCAGCTGTCCAGGGCCACATGTCACCTACGGGGCTGTGGATTGAGCACACTTGGCTTAAAGTCTTTAAGGGGTTTTATAAAACTGTTTTTTTCCTGAAATATTGTATTTTTGGCTGAATGTCAGTAAATAGAATTATACCCACTTGGATTTTATTATGATGAAACACTAAGATACCTGTAGAAAAAGGACTGGCAGAAATTGGGGGTGGAGTTAAAAGAGGGATTAGCCTAGAACCCTACATAGCCATAAGTGAACTAAGTCCACACACACACACACACACACACACACACACACACACTGAATTTTGTTTATCCTTATCTAACTCCAAACAGGTGCTAATCATTAATTGAGAAGATTCCTGTGCATAGACATGATTAGCAATAAACTGGTTTAATTAGACCTTTATGTGTGGATCTGGTCTTTCATGTCTGGGAGTGGTATTCTCAATTAACTAAATTAATGTAAGATGTGAAAGACCAAATATACAAAAAAATTACATAGAAACTCTCTTGGTAATTGCAGGAAGGTCCCATCAACTATCAGCACCAACCATCAGCCAAACTTCTAGGCATTTCCTACTGCAGGGGTCTTCAAACTTGGCCCTTTTATGACTTGTGGACTTCAACTCCCAGAATTCCTCAGCCAGCGTGCCTGACTGAGGAATTCTGGGAGTTGGAATCCACAGGTCATAAAAGTTTGAAGACCCCTGCTCTAGTGTTTTGAGATTTTGCTTGGTCTAGGATGCTCACAGTTTCCAAGCTGAAACTATGGTTGAGTCTGTCCATGTGTTGTGAGATTAGGGAATTTTTATTGTGTCCCCTGACTGCTAGCTGGTGTTCATGGATGGGCTTTGCTGATCTTTTGTAATAGAGTGCATGGGTGATCTTGAGAAAGAGGAGAATTGAATTAAATTGAATGCTTTATTTGGCCAAGTGTGATTAGACACACAAGGAATTTGTCTCTGGTGCAAAAAAAAAAAAAAAAAAAAAATCAGACAAGAGGGCAGCAGCCTGCAGTTTCTTAATGGTCAGAGAAAACTTCCAGATATTGGTTTTCCCAGGTAAACTAGAAAGGAAACATGATTAGAAGCACTAAATCTACTTTACTGTAAGCTTACATTAAAATAATCTTGCAAGTCTAAAGGTAAAATCTTCCTGCTCTCTACTTTTAACTGCTTGCTCCATTAGGGTGGATCTTTCCTTAGTTTCTTTCTCTGACAAGCAACTGTGGGATTCTCTCCTTCTTGTCTGATTGTTTCCTAGGCAGCATCTCTTCTACTTTTTTCCCTCAAGGTCACTGATGAATTCCATGATATCTTCCAGTGAAGCTTGACATTCAGACAAATCAGCCATCAACAGACAAATAGAGATGAACTACATTTACACACCATTCAAAAGAGACAATAAAAAAGCTAAGAAGGAAACAAAAAGACCAGAACATATCCTCTCAAGCAACTATGATCCAGATAAGCAAGGATTAACACTAGACCAGACATGTCAAAAACAAGGCCCGGGGCCCGGATGCGGCCCGCGAAGTGGTTTCATGTGGCCCACAAAGCCATCCTGGAAAACAGTGAGGGAACGGCCCCCGCTGCCTAGGCCCTGGCCCAGGCCACCCGGGAGCCAATGTAGAATTTTATGGTGGCCATCTATGCTGAAACGTATTCAGTCTTAGCTCCACAAGGCCGTCTGGAAACAGCGAGGAACCAGCCCCTGCCGCATTGGCCCCACCCCCAGGGTGCATGCTGGGGAGGTGTCACTCTTTGTGAGGAATGAAGAAATGGACCATGCCTTGGTGCTTGCCCTGGTCCCACCCCCTTCTGCCAGAGACCCTCAGATCTGTCCCACTCCTGCCCAGGCCCCCATAGGCACCCTTGACGTGAACGATGTAGAGCTGGCCATGCCCACCAAGTAGGC